GGACCCCCGAGAAGGGTTTACATTTTTACAAAAGCCACTTGGGACCCCAGAGAAGGTTTACATTTTAAAGAAAGACGGTTGGGACCCCCGAGAAGGTTTACATTTTTAAGAAAGATGGTTGGGACCACTGAGAAGATTTCACATTAAAAAAAAGACATCTGGGGCCTTCGAGAATGTTTTACATTTTTAAAAGACGATCGGGACCTCCGACAAAGTTTCACATTAAAAAAATACACTTGGGGCCCATGAGATGATTTTACATTTCTAAAAAAAGACAAATGGGACCCCCGAGAAGGTTTTACAATTTAAAAAAAGACACTTGTGACCCCCAAAACGTTTTCACATAAAAAAGAACTTTGGGGCCCCCGAGAACGTTTTAGATTATTAAAAAGATTATTGGGACCCCTGAGAAGGTATCGCAAAAAAGACATTTGAGGTCCCCGAAAAGGTTTTATATTTTTAAAAGACATTTGGGACCCCCGAGAATGTTTCACATCCTTAAAAAATGACATTTGGGACTCCGAGAGGGTTTCACATTCTTAAAAAAATTGGACAAAGGTTGTTTCAACAGAATTTCCCTCGCTCCTGAAGAAGGATGAAACATACAAAATAAACACCCAATCAGATTTAGGAATTTAACTCGTTACTATGGAAATTTGCAATTTAACACCTTTTAAATTTAACAAGTTTTTACAAGATTAATAGAGGCAAAATCAGACTTATCTTTGCAAGTATTAGCCCCGCCCACCCGCCCCCTATTTTCTCAGAGGATTATGTTATCTGCCAAAATAAATCTTACCTTAGCAAGTACTAGCCCCGCCCACCCGCCCCCTCTTTTCTCAGAGGATTATGTTATCTGTCAAAATAAATCTTATCTTAGCAAGTATTAGCCCCGCCCACCCACCCCCTATTTTCTCTGAGGATATATCATTTGCCAAAATAAGTCTCATCTTAGCAACTACTTGCCCCGCCCACCCACCCCGATTTTCTCCGAGGTCATGATATTTGCCAAAATCAATCCTATCTTAGCAAGTGTTAGCGCCACCCACCCGCCCCCTATTTTCTCAGAGGATATATCCTTTGCCAAAATAAGTCTTATCTTGGCAAGTACTTGCCCCGCCCATCCACCCTGATTTCCTCAGAGGGCATGATATTTGCCAAAATAAATCTTATCTTAGCAAGTATTAGCCCCGCCCACCCGCCCCCTATTTTCTCAGAGGATTATGATATCTGCCAAAATAAATCTTATCTTAGCAAGTATTAGCCCCGCCCACCCACCCCCTGTTTTCTCAGAGGGTATATCATTTGCCAAAATAAGTCTTATCTTGGCAAGTACTTGCCCCGCCACTCGCCCCTATTTTCCCAGAGGGCATAATATTTGCCAAAATAAATCTTATCTTAGCAAGTATTAGCCCCGCCCATCCACCCCCTATTTTCTCAGAGGATGTCATTTACCAAAATAAGTCTTATGTTAGCAAGTACTTGCCCCACCCACCCGGCCCTATTTTCTCAGAGGGCATGATATTTGCCAAAACAAATCTTATCTTATCAAGTATTAGCCCCGCCCACCTACCCCCTATTTTCTTGAAAGATATGTCATTTGCCAAAATGCTAGTATTTGCTAAGATAAGACTGATTTTGGCAGATGACATAAATATGATAAAAAAGAGGGTGGGTGGGCGGGGCTAGTACTTGCTAAGATAAAACTGATTTTGGCAAATGTCTTACCCTCTAAGAAAGTAGAGGGTGGGTGGGCGGGGCTAGTCCTTGCTAAGATAAGACTAATTTTGGCAAATCTAAAAAATATAAACGCAATGATAAATCACAAATAAAAACTCATCATATTTTGCACATTTTAGATGGATTTATTCGGCAAAATTTAGAGTTGACGTCATCAATTTTTTGGACGGGATAAGTAAATATATTTTGATTTAAAATTTATCATGCTTATCATAACTGTAAACCATCTGCAAGATTTCAAAGCATTCGATTTTGCAGATTCAAAATGTTGTTTCCTAATTTTGATTTTTTTTTTCCAAAAATCTGGACGTTTCGGGTAAAAACTCAAGACCGAATCATAAACTACACGTGTAGGACTATGTTATTTTATACAATGTAAAACCCATTTACTATGTACGATTTTGAAGTGACAGACTGACAGACAGACGGACAGACAGACAGACGATCAGATGGACAGACAGAGGGAAACGGGAGACCTGTCCTTTCGTACTGTAGGGGTCATGAAAGGTCGAGAAAACGTAAAAATACTTTCTTTGCTTATGCTCAGAAAGTTAAAGGACATTTGGCGCCCCCGAGAAGGTTTTAAATTTTTAAATAAAGAGAGACCTTTTTTGACCTTTTTGAAAAGTGGGGTAATTCATCAATAAAAAATTTATGTCAGAGAAAAACTCCAATCGGGTTCGTACACCACACTTATAGGACTACATTTTTGTATAACAGTTAAATCAACAAACCTAGAATTCTTGGAAATGACGTCATCAAATTGTTGGTGGGGATGATTAGCAAACCACACAGACAAACAAACAGACAGAATCTAGGGATCATGAAACGTCGAGAAAATATAAAAGTGGACTCGATTATTATAGTTCTTTAGCTTACACTCGACAAGTAAAATTTCGATGGAAAAAAGAGACAAAGAAGCAACAAAAAAAACAGAGAAAAAGCAGAGATTAAAAAAGGGCGTGATCAAACGTACTTCTGATATAAAAATTTTTGTGCACAATCTCTCGCTTACGCTCAAACATCGCCATTTTCGCCAACTCCATCATTTAACCGCTTTCTCGTTTGTCTTCCCTCGAGTCGATTTTGATGTCCCTGGTCCGCCCTAAACGACTCGAATCAATCTTGATCACAGCCCATTTCGTTATCAGTCCATCTTTCGTAGTTATTACAGCAGTAAAGAAAGTATCTGCGGTCAGATACACTAGCAACATGTCGCATCCATCATTCACACGTAACTTTGTTGGACGGCTTTCCATCCAGCCATATTTATATAAATCAATCTTACCCTTCATCTCGATAGAAATCGAAATTTAATATCCGTAATGCACACATTTCGCACATCTGGGACGACAAAGACGCAAAATTTCGAGGGACGCGGAAAATTAGCTGAATAATTCACCCGACTAAGAAATCGGTGCAGTAGTGGAGATCAGCCACACAAATAATGAATAATCTGGGTCCCACAGCGGACCCCCGACGGAGCTTGTTCAAACATCTTTTCAGCAAAATCACAGCCTAAGTCTCATTAGCAAACGCACATTCGTACGAAAATCAACACAACAGCGAGCGTAAACAACGCATTTCGCGAAATAAAATATTTAGTCATTAGACGGTGAAGTCAACCTCGCAAAATAAACAGGAACGTCGCGACGGGTAAACAGGCAGAATGATAATTCACATGGGTGGAGTGTATTTAATTGGCCATTAGGTTAAATAGACGTCAAAATGTTACTTTTGGAAAAAAATTTTAGATTTTCGGTGATTTTCAGACGTACTATTTTGCAATCTAGTCAACCTAATGGCCAATTAAATGCACTCCACCCATGTAAATTATCATTTTGCTTGTTTATCCGTCGCGGCATGAAAAGGTGTTGATTTGAAGTGACACGTGTTAAATTAGCCCGCCCGAATATTTTTGAATAAACTCCAAGAAATTCACGCTCGTTGCACACCCATACGCCGGTAACGAAGTCTCAATTATAACAACATCTGTCCAGTCGGAGAGGTCAGTTTGACGCGTTATCAAAAATAAATGCGCGATGACAAATTAAGGGAGTTTCTCGCGTTTGTTTGGAGGCTTCGAAATAGCAGGGGCAATAAATTCGATGCGAAACAATGCGCTATTTCGAAGCCCGTCCGACTTGGCAGGGCGCCGCGTTATAAAAAAATAAACAATCTGTTCGCACTATTTTTATCAATCAGATTCAGTGTCAGGTGAAACGCTGGCGCGACGACATAATGATCTAAATCGAAATTTAATTAAATTTTAATTACACTTTATGCGCGTATTTTATCGGAGTTCAAAGAGGAGTGACACACTTCTCCTGCTTTCATTAAAATAAACATCGGTGAATGGCAAAAGTAATTAATTGTTTTCGCTAAGTATTATTTATTAATTAATTATGCTAAAAGCTCGCTTCTTTACAGCGGAAATTTTAAAACGGAATTTAATTAATCTCCAGACGACGTTTCGTTTCACTTCGGCTACACACTCGCAAATAAAAACATAAATAAATGGACGCGCGAAAACATGGATTTTCTACAACGAACAAAAAATGACGTTGTAGAAAGGATATTGATATTAGAATACAAACTCCCCGTTGCTGGACAGAAGAAAAACACGCTTTCTAGTCAAAGAGACTCTTTTTGAAACACTTGCCTAAGTTCAATAAGAACGGTTACTGAACATAAAAAGTCCATTGCTTTGTGTCTGGTGCTGTGCATACTTGTGGCAGAATATGTTAAAGCGAATCGAATTCAGACACTGGGTATTTTCATTCATCAGTGTAACAATTTTCGGGGGGAATTTTAATGAAAATGTCTTTTGCAGTCAAGTAGAACTTTACAAAATAACACATGTTTCTAATTTGATCTCTGCATAATCAGTGGTGTTTTCCGGGAACTTCCTCAGGTCTGATCATGTTGTTTTGTTGTCTAAAAATACATTTCTGGAAACGAACGAAAACGAAGAAGCAGTTTCCAGGGAGATAAATGATGTTGCAATTAATTTTATAATGTGGTTTCAACATAAAACAAATGTAGGACTAAAACTGGGGGCATAAATCACAATTTTCGTCATTGTGATGCTATTTATTGTTTTTGGCAATGGCCGACAAAACCGAGAGTGGAAATATAATTGTGAAGAAATGTTGACTTATTTTTAGTTTATAATTATAATTTCACGTGAAGGAATAAATGCTAACTGAGTGTTTGTAAAGCTATTCTTAATAATATCTATATGTAAACTTTATACATACCTAAAGAATGCACTCAGTTCAAAATTGAAGGTCTTTTAGTACGCTGCAATTAAAAACACAGATTATTTTCAATTCTTAAAAAAAAACAAGGCACACCAGAGATTTAAAATTGTTTTCAAAAATAAAATATCAGATATACTTTTTTATTTTCTTTTTTACATAATACATATAGTTTTCTTTGAACAACACAATGACTTAAGTATTTGTTTTACATGTAGAGAAATAAAGATTTTGTAATTAAGGTCCGTCCACTGACTCATGACGAATAGAAAAAATCGTCACAATTGCGATAGGGTGGGTGGGCGGGGCTTATGTTTTCCCTCTGTTTTTCTTAATATATGCAGTCATCTTCTCACAAGAAGAAACTTAAAACATGTTTAGAATGGTAAATTCTTGTAGCGAAATATAGGTTTTGCAAAATAGATAGATTGAAAAATTGTGAAATCGAAAAGTTACGAATTGAAAGGTTTAAAAACCGAAAAATTGAAGAAATGAAAAATTTGCAAAAAAAAATAAAAATTAAAAATTTTAAGTTGAAATATTTAAAACTGAATGCTAGAAAATTTCTAAATCGAAAAAATAAAGAAACGAAAAATTGGAAATTGGAAACTTGCAATTCCCAGTCCAAAATTTGACGAAACAAAACATCAAAAACAGAGAAATTGGAAAAATCGGATTTTGAAAACTCCAAAAATGCCAAAACTAGTTTTACCTGAGCAAGTACTAGCCCCGCCCACCCACCCCTATTTTCTCAGGTGATATGTCATTTGCCAAAATTAGTTTTATGTGAGCAAATACTAACCCCGCCCGCCCACCCGCCGCCTATTTTCTCAGAAGATATATCATTTGCCGAAATAAGTCTTATCTTCCAAATTGGAAACACCAAGAGATCAAAAAATGAAAAATTCGGAATTCGAAAATCCCCAAAAATGAGAAACACGAAAAATTGCAAAATAAAAACAGAAACCTGGAAAAAAACGAAAAATTAGAAAGATGAAAAAATGTAAGCATTCAAAAGTTGAGAAATCAAAAAATTGATAAAATTTAAAATTGAAAACTTGAAAAATTACAAATAGAGAAGTTAAGAATCTAAAAATTGTAAAATCGAAACACTGAAAAATCTCACAATTGAAAGAAAAATCGAAAAATTTGAAAATCGAAAAATTGAGAAATTGAAAAACTGAAATGTCAGAAAATTGTAGAATTAAAATTTAAAAAAAATATGAAAATATCTAATTGAAAAATCGATTAATTGCAAAATTCAATCTGAAAAATTTTAAATTCAACACTGGAAAATTTCTAAACCGCAAAACTGGAGAAACGAAAACTGAAAATTTCAATTGAAATTCCAAGCTGGAAACACCGAAAAATCAAGAAATTGAAAAATTCGGAATTTGAAATCCTCAAAACTGGGAAACACAAGCAAAATAAACATAGAAAACTAGAAGAAAAAAAGAAAAAAAGCTAAGCATAAAAAGTTGAGAAATAAAAAAATTGATAAAATTTAAAATTGAAAACTAGAAAAATTCCAAATAGAGAAGTGAAGAAATCTAAGAATTGTAAAATCGAAACACTGAAAAATCTCACAGTTGAAAGAAAAATCGAAAAATTTGAAAATTGAAAATCGAAAAATTGAAGTCGGAAAATTGCAGAAAAAAAAATTCGAAAAAATGAAAAATGAAAAAACCTAGTCGAAAAATCGAAAAACTAAAAAATTGAAGTTGAAAATTTGAGAACTGAAAAGTAAAAAATTTCTAAAACGTAAAATTCAAGAAACAAAAACTGAAAACCTTAATGGAAATTCCAAGTTGGAAACACAGAAAAATCTAGAAATTGAGAAATTCGGAATTTGAAATTCTCGAAACTGGGAAACACAAGCAAAATAAACATAGAAAACTAGAAAGAAACGAAAAATCAGGAAAATTAAAAAAAAGTTAAGCATAAAAATTTGAGAAATCAAAAAATTGATAAAATTTATAATTGAAAACTAGAAAAATTCCTAATAGAGAAGTGAAGAATCTAAAAATTGTAAAATCGAAACACTGAAAAATCTCACAGTTGACAGAAAAATCGAAAAATTAGGAAATTGAAAATCGAAAAACTGAAGTCGGAAAACTGCAGAATAAAAAATTCGAAAAAATGAAAAATCTAGTCGAAAAATCGAAAAACTAAAATTTTAAGATAGAAAACTTGAAAAATTCCAAAATGAAAATTGAAGAATCGAAAAATTGCAAAATCGAAACACCGAAAAATCTCACAGTTCAAAGAAAAATGGAAAAATTTGAAAATCGAAAAATTGAGAAATTGAAAACCTGAAATGTCAGAAAATTGTAGAATTAAAATTAAAAAAAAATATGAAAGTATCTAATTGAAAAATCGATTAATTGCAAAATTCAAGCTGAAAAATTTTAAATTCAACACGAGAAAATTTCTAAATCGCAAAATTGAAGAAACGAAAACTGAAAACCTTAATTGAAATTCCAAGCTGGAAACACCGAAAAATCAAGAAATTGAAAAATTCGGAATTTGAAATCCTCAAAACTGGGAAACACAAGTAAAATAAACATAGAAAACTAGAAAAAAACGAAAAATCAGAAAAATGAAAAAAAACTAAGCATAAAAAGTTGAGAAATCGAAAAAATGATAAAATTTAAAATTGAAAACTAGAAAAATTTCAAATAGAGAATTGAAGAATCTAAAAATTGTAAAATCGAAACACTGAAAAATCTCACAGTTGACAGAAAAATCGAAAAATTAGGAAATTGAAAATCGAAAAACTGAAGTCGGAAAACTGCAGAATAAAAAATTCGAAAAAATGAAAAATGAAAAAATCTAGTCGAAAAATCGAAAAACTAAAATTTTAAGATTGAAAACTTGAAAAATTCCAAAATGAAAATTGAAGAATCGAAAAATTGTAAAATCGAAACACCGATAAATTTCACAGTTGAAAGAAAAATGGAAAAATTTGAAAATCGAAAAATTAAGAAATTGAAAACCTGAAATGTCAGAAAATTGTATAATTAAAATTTAAAAAAATATGAAAATATCTAATTGAAAAATCGATTAATTGCAAAATTCAAGCTGAAAAATTTTAAATTCAGCACGAGAAAATTTCTAAATCGCAAAACTGAAGAAACGAAAACCGAAAACCTTAATTGAAATTCCAAGCTGGAAACACCGAAAAATCAAGAAATTGAAAAATTCGGAATTTGAAATCCTCAAAACTGGGAAACACAAGTAAAATAAACATAGAAAACTAGAAAGAAACGAAAAATCAGAAAAATGAAAAATAAACCAAGCATAAAAAGTTGAGAAATCGAAAAATTGATAAAAATTAAGAAATTGAAAATCGAAAAATTGAAGTCGGAAAATTGCAGAATAAAAAATTTGAAAAAATGAAAAATCTAGTCGAAAAATCGAAAAACCAAAAAAGTCAAGTTGAAAAATTGAGAACTGAAAAACAGGAAATTTCTAAAACGTAAAATTGAGGAAACGAAAAATTGAAAATTGAAAACTTCAAGAAACAAAACAGGAAAAATGGAGATTTGTTTCACGACTTATAGACAATATAGAGGTCAAGTCAGCCCAGGTCAGATAAGATCAGGTCAGGTTAGGTCAGGATATAGTTTTCTTTTAACAATGCAATGACTTAAGTTTCACATGTAAAGAAATAAGGATGTTGCAGTAAAGTCCGCCCCCTGACTCATGAATCATGACGAATAGTAACAGATCATCATAATTGAGATCGGGTGGGTGGGCGGGGCTTATGTTTTGCCCCTGTTTTTCTTAATGCAATTACGCTCCGCCCCTCGGTCTGACAACGAATGAAAAATGTATTAGAAGTTAATGGAGTTGGCCATGGTGAGGCTGCTAAATATAAATGTAAATGCCACATTTTTCTGCTGAAGACAACGTTGATAAAAAATTCTATAATTTAATGAAAATTCAAGATTCAATACTTTAACCAAAAACTAAACAACCAATTTGCGAAAAATTTTCCAATAATAATAAAAATGGTAAACAATGGAAATTATTTTTTACTGTGAAAATATTCTATTGAAGCTATTTTGTAGGGAGTTATGTTTTTGGTTCGGTTTTATCCCGGGCTATTTTTTGGGGTATCTCTCTGCATTAAAAAAAGACATAAAGATTCCAAAGAATCCCTAAATCTTGCATAAATAAAACACCATGAATTTCCAAGATTCTGTTATCATAAAAAAAAGACACTAGGAGTCTTTTAGATACTTACAATTAAAAAAAAAAGTGGCGTCGCCTATTTTCTCAGATGATGTCATTTACCGAAATAAGTTTCATCTTAGCAAATACTAGCCCCGCCCACCCACCCCTATTTTCTCAGAGGATATGTTATTTGCCAAAATCAGTCTTATCTTACCGTGTACTAGCCCCGCCCACCCGCCCTTTATTTTCTCAGAGGGTAGTACTTGCTAAGATAAGTCTTATTTTGGGAAATCACATATCTTCTAAGAAAATAGGGCCGGGCGGGCGGGCGAGCGGGGTTAGTATTTGCTCAGATAAGACTGATTTTGGCAGATGAGATACCCTCTGAGAAAAGAGAGGGTGGGCGGGCGGGGTTAGTATTTGCTCAGATAAAACTGATTTTGGCAAATGACATATCCTCTGACAAAACAGAGGGCGGGTGGGCGGGGCTAACATTTGCCACGATAAGACTGATTTTGCCCCTATTAAACTTGTAAAAACTTGTTAAATTTAAAAGGTGTAAATTGCAAATTTTAAAAATAACGAGTTAAATTCCTAAATCTGATGATAAATCACAAATAAAATCTCACAATATTTATTTTGCACATTTCGGGTAGATTTAGGAATTCAACTCCTTACTATGGAAATTTGCACTTTAACACCTTTAAATTTCACAAGATTTTACAAGATTAATAGGGGAAAAAATCAGTTTTATTTTATCAAGTACTAGTACCGCCCACCCGCCCCCTATTTTCTCAGAGGATATATCATTTGCCAAAATAAATTTTACCTTAGCCAGTACTAGTACCGCCCACCCACCCCTATTTTCTCAGGGGATCTGTTATTTGCCAAAATCAGTTTTATCTTAGCAACTACTAACCCCGCCCGCCCACCCGCCGCCTCTTTTCTTAGAGGATATGTCATTTGCCGAAATAAGTCTTATCTTAGCCATTACTAGCCCCGCCCACCCACCCCTATTTTCTCAGGGGATATGTTATTTGCCAAAATCAGTCTTATGTTACCATGTACTATCCCCACCCACCCGCCCTTTATTTTCTCAGAGGGTAGTACTTGCTAGTGTTTGCTAAGATAAGTCTTATTTTGGCAAATCACATATCTTCTGAGAAAATAGGGCTGGACGGGCGGGCGGGGTTAGTATTTGCTCAGATAAAACTGATTTTGACAAATGACAGATCCCCTGACAAAATAGGGGTGGGCGGGTGGGGTTAGTTCTTGCTCAGTTAAAACTGATTTTGGCAAATGACATATCCCCTAACTAAGCAGGGGTGGGTGGGCGGGGCTAGTACTTGCTAAGGTGGAACTTATTTTGGCAAATGACATATCCTCTGACAAAACAGGGGGCGGGTGGGCGGGGCTAACATTTGCTACGATAAGACTGATTTTGCCCCTATTAAACTTGTAAAAACTTAAATTCCTAAATCTGTTTCGATGTTTATTTTTTAACAATTCAGTCATTAATTTTTTTGAATCACCCACCAATTAAAAAAAAAGAGGCAAGGAAATCCCTGAAATTCTTTCATATTCTTTAAAAATAAACACAAGGGCCCCCAAGAACCTTTCACATTCTTTAAAAAATGACCAATCAGTCACCTGTATAAGCAAATCTAATAAATCTGAATGCGATGATAAATCACAAATAAAAACTCACAATATTTATTTTGCACATTTCGGGTAGATTTAGGAATTCAACTCCTTACTATGGAAATTTGCACTTTAACATCTTTAAATTTCACAAGATTTTACAAGATTAATAGGGGCAAAATCAGTTTTATCTTATCAAGACCATACTAGTGCCGCCCACCCGCCCCCTATTTTCTCAGAAGATATATCATTTGCCAAAATAAATTTTACTTTAGTAAGTACTAGCCCCGCCCACCCACCCCTATTTTCTCAGGGGATGTGTTATTTGCCAAAATGACTTTTATTTGAGCAAGTACTAACCCCGCCTGCCCACCCCTATTTTCTCAGAGGATGTCATTTGCCAACATTAGTTTTATTTGCAAGTACTAACCCCGTCCGCCCACCCCTATTTTCTCAGAGGATGTCATTTGCCAATATTAGTTGTACTTTAGTAAGTACTAACCCCGCCCACCCACCCATATTTTCTCAGGGGATATGTCATTTGCCAAAATTAGTTTTATCTGAGCAAATACTAACCCCGCCCGCCCACCCCTATTTTCTCAGAGGATGTCATTTGCCAACATTAGTTTTATCTGAGCAAGTGCTAACCCCGCCCCCCCACCCGCCGCTTATTTTCTTAGAGGATATGTCATTTGCCGAAATAAGTCTTATCTTAGCAAGGACTAGGCCCGCCCACCCACCCCTATTTTCTTAGGGGATGTGTTATTTGCCAAAATCAGTTTTATCTTACCATGTACTAGCCCCACCCACCCGCGCTTTATTTTCTCAGAGGGTAGTACTTGCTAAGATAAGTCTTATTTTGGCAAATCACATATCTTCTGAGAAAATAGGGGTGGGTGGGCGGGCGGGGTTAGTATTTGCTCAGATAAAACTGATTTTGGCAAATGACATATCTCCTAAGAAAATAGGGGTGGGTGGGCGGGGCTAGTACTTGCTCAGATAAAACTGATTTTGCCAAATGACATCCTCTGAGAAAATAGGGGGCGGGTGGGCGGGGCTAACACTTGCTAAGATAAGACTTATTTTGGCAAATGACATATCCTCTGAGAAAATAGAGGGTGGGTGGGCGGGGCTAATACTTGCTAAGATAAGATTTATTTTGGCAGAGAATATAATCCTCTGAGAAAATAGGGGGCGGGTGGGCGGGGCTAATACTTGCTAAGATAAGATTTATTTTGGCAGATAACATAATCCTCTCAGAAAATAAGGGGCGGGTGGGCGGGGCTAATACTTGCTAAGATAAGACTGATTTTGCCTCTATTAATCTTGTAAAAACTTGGTAAATTTAAAAGGTGTTAAATTGCAAATTTCCATAGTAACAAGTTAAATTCCCAAATCTGATTGGATGTTGATTAAAAAATTATTATGCTTATCATAACTTTAAAACATCTGCAAGATTTCAAAGCATTCAGTTTGGCAGATTAAAAATTAAATTGCAAAATGTTGTTTTATAATTTTTGATTTGTTTCCAAAAATCTGGACTGTTTGGGTAAAAACTCAACACGGAGTCATAAACTACATGTATAGCATTATTTTATATTATTATATATATTATTTAAATCAAAGGGGGACTCCCATGGTCCTTTTACATTTAAAAATCAGATACAAGAGACCCCAAAAATTCTTTAAATTTTCTGATAATGCAACTTGCTTAACAAAACGGGTTGAAAATTTTGCAATTTTGAGTGTTTATGGACCAATAACTAAGTTTAAATTCTGTCAATAATAGAACATCAGGAGTCTTCGAAATTCTTTCACGTTAAAAAAAAACACAAAAGGTTCCTGAGATGCTTTCACATTAAAAAGACACAAGGGATTCTTAGGATTCTATCACATTGAGAAAAAAAAAAGTTAAAAGTGGCTCCTGCGATTGATACAAATAAATCCTAAAATTCTTACAGAATCTTAGAAAAAGACCCAGAATCTCTGAGATTCGCTCTCATTCTCGAGTTTGTTTAATTTTTTTCAAAAACATTAGGAGTCTCCAAGTTTACCTCAAATCCTGACGAAGCAGCAGATGCTAAAATTTCAAGATAATCAACACTGAAAAAAATGTGGTTGTAATCTACATTGAAATTAATTTAAAATTTTAAATTGGTGACGGTCCCATCTGGTTTTCAGTTGATGACACAACTCATGCCAAAGGAAAATACATTCCAAATTTTATTATAGAAAGTTTAAAAGAAAACGCACCAGGAAATGAATAATAACACTACCAGATGTTAGTTCAAAATTTAAATGTTCCAATACATCTTACGACGTCTGCAGTTTTCATCGTAAAAATTATAGTAACTGTAAAGTAAAAACGTATTTATATGTTTCGGAACGAATCCTTTGTAGGTACCTATAAAAGTGTAAATAACCGCAATTTTAAATGTTTTTCCACGCAAATCGAATCTTCAAAAATATGTATCACATTTCCGAACGACAGATCCGCCGATTTAATATTAGACCGGCCTCAAACAGCTAAGATGATCCATAAATAAGTTATAAAACGCAACCAAGACTTGTACAAAACAAAATAAATTTATCTAGGCGTAGAATAATCACACTACAAAGCAAACCATTACTTTGAACAGGCTCGAAAAAAAAACAAATTTGTCAGAATGGTTTGGAGCACAAACACCGAAATTTCGACAAGTCGTCTATTTCTGACTACACATTTACCCCCATCCCCCAAGCCCGTTCATTCCATTACCGCGATCAGGTTTCGCTAAACTAATTAATATCGAAACATGCCCCCGCCGCGACACAAAGGAAACTTGTAGAAACGTCAAACAAAGGCCGCAGGAGCCAATATAAAATCCCGATATATCATTCCGGCGTCGGCGGCGAAAGTAAACAGCGTAACAGGTTTCATAAGCTGCAGGTTAGGAGTCGGGTTGCTTGGTAACGGCATCGCGACGCGTCCTAAAAATACGCACGTGCCGGTGGGCGCCGGCCGACAAAAACCAAAGCAGGATGACTCTTACCGGTGAGTTTCACGTGGAGGTCGAAACGTGGGTCGGACGGAAAGGACAACACACACATGCACGAGGACAACACAACACAAAGGACGTGGACAAGACGGCACGACACAGACACAGGAGCGCGGACCTTCTCTGATGAGGTTTCTGGTAAAATTAGCGTGATCGGACGGTTTCGCTTTAGATTTTTCCAATCTTCTGCCTTATCGCCGAGCTCGCTACGAACGTTGTGATAACGTTATCGGAGATCGAGACCTACGTTGACTCGATTGTGTGCACAACGTTTCGAATGTGGTCATTCGCGACGGATGATGGATGGCGCTGGGTGTGCGTTGGTCGGGTCGGTTTTCGGGGTAAACCAAACCGAAATAATTTTGTTGAGGAGTTTTTGCTGGGACGAGACTAAAAGAGCGAACGACAACTAATAAGCGACTAGAGAAAACGCATTAAATTATAAAAATTTGGGTGATATGCCAACGTATTAGTTACTAGCAAAACAACAAACTTTCCGATCATAAATACGATTTTAATATTTTTGTAATGAGTCAGTGAGTAATTAAAAGGTCATGACAGGTTTCTTCAATTCAGAATCGTGATAAAATCATGCGTAAGTACATTTTTATCAAAAGTGCTTTGTCGGTCGGGAATCGACTGGTTTATTAGCCATTTATTTACAGTTTAAGTATTATTTCTTGCCATTATCATGAACAAACCGAAGAATTACTTCGATGTAAGTACACACAACATGACTCGGTCCAAGATAACAAAGAGAAAAACACTGGCCAGAATGATTTCTGAAAATGAAATTGCTAAAACTTTAACAGAAAAAATCCCTGCCAATTTATCAACTTTTGTTTTTTATTGTTTTTTCTTTTTGATTATTTTTTTTTATCGAAACGCTGCTGTGTCCCAGAATTTGAGGTTTCTAGAGTCTTCCATTTGACGACTTCATTGAATGAGGCATCTAGAAATTATTTTGGCTCCTAGTTCTTCGAAAACTACCATTTTCCCAGAATGGTCCAATCAAACGTTGCACTTTTTAAGATCTTGAAAAAATTCCCTCATGAAAATTTGACATAATTTGGACCATTTTCGAATTTTACCTAAAGAGATTTTTTAAATCTTATCTAGTTATTACGAGTAAACCTGTGTAATGTAGAATTCCACCGTATAAAGTTGATGCAACTTCTCTAGTATTTTTCTTTGTGTACCTAAAAATTACATGTGTTTTTTGTTGCAGTGGGTTCGTAAATGAAGATGAGGGGATTCGCTAAATTGTAGCAGAAAAAGAAGCCTAAAGGTTAGAATTTTGCCTTAATTTTAAATTGGATGTTGTTTTTTTACATTTTTTTAATCTTTATAGAGGCTATTTTGATCGGTAATTTTGTCTTATTTACATTTAATCAAAAACATTTTTGGCGTATTTTTGTTAAATATTTTGTTAAGTAGGTATTTTATTTTATTTTTTATGGTTTTTTCCTTAAAGAGATTTTTATAGTTTTTAACCTCCAGAAATTATTTTTGTCTCATTTCTTCGAAAACTTCTATAGATTTTCCAGAATCGTCCAAGGAAATATGGAGATTTTTAAAATTTTCGAAAAAAATTGATTTTCAAGGTCAATATGTCTGAAATTTTGCCCAGGGAGATTAAACACCCTATATTTTTGAAATCAGCACGTCAAGCACTATCTCCTATCATTTTTTGAGAATTTTTTAACAACTTTTTCAAAATCTCAAATTTCGACCTAATTTTAACCATTTTCAAAATTTACCGAAGGACATTTTTTATAGTTTTCAGCCTCTAGAAGTTCTCATACCAGATTCCCAGAATCTTCAAATGAATATGGAGTTTTTAAAAATGTTCGAAAAAAATTTATTTTTAAGCTGAATATTTCTAAAATTATGTCCAGGTTCTTTAAAGATGGTATATTTTTTGATTCAGCACGTCAAGCTCTATCTTCTAGAATGTTTTGAGGATTTTTAAAAAACATTTTGAAAATTTCAAATTTTTATGGAAGTTTTGATCTAATTTTGACCATTTTCGAAATTTACCGAGATTTTTTTTGTAGTTTTTAGGCTCTAAAAGTTATTTTTGACCTCATTTCTCTGAAAATCCACAAATCCACAGATCCTCAAATGAAAATGGGGATATTTAAGATTTTCAAAAAAATTTGATTTTCAAGCTGAATATTGCTAAAATTCTGCACTAAAACATTAAACACGGTATGTCTTTTGAATTAGCACGTCAAGCTCTATGTCCTGGAATTTTTTGAGAATTTTTTACCAAATTTTTCAAAATTTCAAATTTTTATGGAAATTTCGACCTAATTTGAGCGTTTTCGAAATTGACCTAAAAAGATTTTTTACAGTTTTCAGCCTCTAAAAGTAATTTTGACTATTTTCGAAATTAACCTACAGAGATTTTTTGTAGATTTGAACGTCTAGAAGTCATTTGCGGCCTCATTTCTTCGAAAACTCCTACAAAATTCTCAGAATCCTCAAATAAATATGGAGATTTTCAAAATTTTCGAAAAAATTTGATTTTCAAGCTGAATATTTCTAAAATTGTGTCCAGGAAATATAAACATAGTTTGTTTTTTGAATCAGCACATCAAGCTCTATGTCCTTGAATTTTTTGATAATTTTTAGACAACTTTTTCAAAATTTCAAATTTTTATGGAAATTGGACCTAATTTTAACCATTTTCAAAATTTACCGAAAAGGATTTTATTAAAGTTTTCAACCTCTAAAAGTGATTTTTGGCCCCATTTCCTTGAAAACCCCTATCAAATTCCCAGAATTCTCAAATGAATATGGAGATTTTCAAAATTTTCGAAAAAATTTGATTTTCAAGCTTAATATTTCTAAAATTATGGCCAGCACGTCAAGCTCTATCTCATAGAATTTTTTAAGAATCTTGAAACAACTTTTTAAAATCTCAAATTTTAAGTGTTTATGAATCGCCCTAATTTTAACTATTTTCGAAATTTACCAAAAAACATGTTTTGTAGTTTTCATCCTCTAAAAATTATTTTTGGCTTCATTTCTTCGAAAACTCTTTTCGAATTCCCAGAATTCTCAAATAAATATGGTAATTTTTTATATTTTCGAAAAAATTTGATTTTCAAGCTGAATATTTCCGAAATTCTGCCCCAGTATATTAAACACGGTATGTTTTTTGAATCAACACGTCAAGCTCTATGTCCTTGAATTTTTTGAGAATTTTTAGACAACTTTTTCAAAATCTCAAATTTTGAGTGCTTATAAAAATTTCGCCCTAATTTTGACTATTTTCCAAGTTTACCTAAAAAGATTTTTAATAGCTTCCAGCCTCTAAAAGTTATTTTTGGCCTTATTTCTTTGAAAACTCCTTCCAAATTCTCAGAATTCTCAAATAAATTTGGAGATTTTTACGATTTTTGAAAAAATTTTATTTTCAAGTTGAATATTTCCAAAATACTGCCCCAGTATATTAAACATGGTATGTTTTTTGAACCAACACGTCAAGCTCTATGTCCTAGAATTTTCTAAGAATTTTTAGACAACTTTTTCAAAATCTCAAATTTTCAGGGCTTACGAAAGTTTCGCCCCAATTTTGACCATTTTCGAAATTAACCTAAAGAGAGTTTTTGTAGATTTGAACGTCTAGAAGTCAGTTGCAGCCTTACTCCTTCGAAAACTCCTACCAAATTCTCAGAATCCTCAAATGAATATGGAGATTTGCAAAATTTTCGAAAAAATTTGATTTTCGAGCTGAATATTTCTAAAATTGTGTCCACGAAATATAAACATAGTTTGTTTTTTGAATCAGCACATCAAGCTCTATGTCCTTGAATTTTTTGATTATTTTTAGACAACTTTTTCAAAATTTCAAATGTTTATGGAAATTGGACCTAATTTTGATCATTCGAAATTTACTCAAACAGATTTTATTAAAGTTTTCAGCTTCTAAAAGTTATTTTTGTCCTCATTTTTTCGAAAACTTCTACCAAATTCCCAGAATCCGCAAATGAATATGAAAATTTTCAAAATTTTCGAAAAAAATTGATATTCAAGCTGAATTATGGCCAGGCACATTAAATACGGTATATTTTTCGAACCACCACGTCAAACTCTATCTCATAGAATTTTTTGAGAACTTTTGGACAATTTTTGTAAAATTTCAATTTTTTTGTGGAAACACAAACCTAATTTTGGCCATTTTCTAAATTTACTTAACCAGATTTTTTTATACTTTTCAGCCTCTAAAAGTTATTTTTGGCCTCGTTTATTCAAAAACTCCTACCAAATTCCCAGAATCCTCAAATGAATATGGAGTTTTTAAAAATTTTCGAAAAATTTTTATTTTTAAGGTAAATATTTCTAAAAATATGTCCAGGGTCTTTAAAGATGAGATTTTTTTTATAATTTTTTAAGATTTTGAAAAAAAATATTTTTATGTTGAATATTTCTAAAAAAAAGAAAAAGAATTCTGCCCAGGACGTTAAACACCATATATTTTTTGAATCAGCAGGTCAAGTTCTATCCCCTAGATTTTTTCGAAAGTTTTTAGACAATTTTTTCAAAATTTCTAATTTTTATGGAAATTCCGACCTAATTTTGACCATTTCCATAATTTACCGAAATTTTTTTTTTGTAGTTATCAGTGTCTAAAACTTATTTTTGAACTCATTTTTTCGAAAACTTCTGCCAAATTCCCAGAATCCTGAAATGAATATGAAGATTTTGAAGATTTTCGAAAAAATTTGACATTCAAGCTGAATATTTCTACAATTATGGCACATTAAATACGGTATACTTTTCGAACCACCACGTCGAGCTCTATCTCATAGAATTTTTTGAGAATTTTTGGACAATTTTTTCAAAATTTCAAATTTTTTTGGAAATTCAAACCTAATTGTGGCCTTTTTAAAATTTACTTAACCAGATTTTTTTATGGTTTTCAGCCTCTAAAAGTTATTTTTGGCCTCATTTATTCGAAAACTCCTACCAAATTTCCAGAATGCTCAAATGAATTTAGAGATTTTCAAAATTTTCGAAAAAATTTGATTTTTAAGCTGAATATTTCCAAACTTTTGCCCCAACACGGTATGTTTCTTGAATCCACACGTCAAGCTCTGTCCTAGAATTTTTTGACATTTTTCAGACAACTTTTT